TGGAACCGTCAGATAAAATTGCAATAAAACGAGCATTTGAAACTTCCAAACTTAATTCGCGTTTTAAGTCAGAAGAAATTGACGAAACAAAGCTTTTGCAAGATTTGTCACTTAAGTAGTTCTTGCCCAACTTAATACCATTTAGATTTTGTAGCTTACACAGTTGAGGAAACTTTTTAAATGCAAGATCCTTTTTAACAACAAAATACGATATCCGAAAAAGTCTGTTCAATTCTTCTTGGTTATTTTCAGTAGTTTTTAAAATTGATGTCGATACAGTTTTCTCAAGACTTGGAGCTATATTGTGAAGGTTCTCTCGATATTTAGAAATACAGGCTTTATGCCCATCATCTTTATTGTGGCGTAACAAATATGTTCTTTTCCAAAATTTACATCCCATTGTTACTGAATTGGTTGTATTGCTAATATTTGGATACTTTTGGCAAACCCAGCAAGAAAAGCACTCATTTGATTTGTCAATATGAATCCAACTTAGTTGTTGCCCGTGTTTTTTATTGCTTGGCGGCAATCCATTTACGGTGTCCCAAAACATAAATTCAATATCTTTTGGCCATATATCCAATTTTCCTAAAGTCATAGCACAATCCAAGTCATTGCACTTTTTTTTCGCATGTTTAGTTTCTCACTCTTCTTATCCTTTACGTTTAATGCTACGTTCCTCTGTGCCATCTTTCTTTAACATCGAAAAGATGCTTAGTTGTTTTGACATTTTTTTAAAAACTTTAAAAATAATAGTATATTAAGTATTTAATAAGTTAATAAAAATATCATATTATTGGTGTTGTTAAACGCACAATAAAAAAAATACAATTTTAACAAACATAATAACTTTATATATTTTATTATGTATTTTTTAGCAAAACTTGAACATTAATTTAAACTTTTATAAGTTTTAAAATGCAAACTAACATTACTTCACTTTAAAGAAAAAAAAAAGAAAAAAAAAGCACGCTATTAAAAAAAGCAATCGTTATTTAAGCATGGTTTTTTTTAAAGTAATTGCAAATGGACTCATTTTAAATAAAAATTTAAATGCTTTTTTAAACGCATGCAAAAACCATGCTCAAACTAATTACTTTCTTCGTTCCATTGAGGAAATAGCTTCAGCGTGGTTTCTTTTAAAAGTCATTGAAAATGCGTTTGAAATTTTCGTAATTAGTTGTTTTTGTCTGTTTTTTATAATAAATAAAAAACGATCAATAGTTAATTGTTTGGAAAAAAAAATTGCTATAGTAACGCGTTCATTTTTAAAAATTTTAGGCGAACGCCAGCGTTTGCGTTAGGAAAAGTAAAGTAACGTGACGTTCGTTTTTCTGTCTTTTTTTGTGCAGACGTTCGCGCGTTCGTCGATTTTTCGCGCCCTGTATATATATATATATATATATATATATATATATATATATATATATATATATATATATATATATATATATATATATATATATATATATATATATATATATATATATATATATATATATATATGTATATATATTAGGCCAGATCATAACATCAAAAAAAAATTCCTTAGAGAATATGCATTAAGTGGTTCTCAAATATACTGAATTTTTTGCTGCAAACCGTTTTTCTATACTACTTTGCTATACTTTGCATTTTTGTCTTTGAAAATTTACTTAAAAATGCCATTTTGTAACATATCATTTATTGAATTTTTAGTACATCATTTATTTATTGAACACTTAATACTATTAGAAAAACAAATTATGTTAATAATGCATGATTTTTATATTATCAACTAACAACAGTTACAATATTTTAGTTAAATCTGTTTGAATTCGGACTTAGTATCAAAGTACAGCATTATTTTTTGGCGCTCCAAAAGAACGCGAATATAGCCATCACGGCTATCATGAACATAAACCTTAGATGCAGATTCAATGACAATTTTAATTAAACATTCATCACTTTGATTGTGGCATGGAAATGTTTCTATATCAACAACAATTTCTTCATCTGACTGAAGCCAGGCTAATATTTGTGTAGTAGAAATGTGTTTTGTCATAACGGGTTCCAAGCGGGGGATAGTTTGCCAATCAATCAGCTCTTCATAGCTTGTTGCTTGAAGTCTAATTTCAGGGATTTGGAATTTATGATTTGATATGTCATCTTTCCGTGCATGTAGTATTCTTTTCAGAGCAAGTCTATAAATTACTTGACAGTTGTCAAGTAATTCGTAAGGTTTTTTACATCAAACCATACAACTGCATAAGAATTCACGATAAATTTAGCCAATAGTGTAAGTTCATTTGATGGAGCTACAGTAGATATATATAGGCGCAAAACACGATTTGCAAGTGTCAACCACCTTGCATGGTTTAGTCGCCCAGGCAATCTGGATTCAAATCTCTGTGGTACAATCCCTGTCTTCACTGCATTAAGAATTTAAAAAAAGTAAAATTGATCACTGCTTAATAAATCTTTATCACAATTAATAGGTTCACCAGCAATAACAGCAAAGTTGACTATTGGTGACTGCAATAGCTTTGAAATAGATTTGCCAATAGGTCCATTAAATAAATGTGGTTCAGTTGTTGCACCATCTAAGGAACTAATTAGATGTCGCAAAGCTCATTTAGATGTAAGAGACAAATGGACCAGTGAAGTGGGCAACCAAGTTTATTCTACATATAACTCCATTATTTAAACCAGTGTTAACGTTTGTTGAATCTGAACCAATACAAACAAGATTAGTACAGTCTGCTGTATCAAGAATTGGATGCAATGGATTTAGCTGTACCACCTACTGGAGAAGAATTGTCAATGTATCTTGATCCTGGCTCTAATAATAGAGAAATATGTTCTTCAGAAACTACATTCTGCCGATCTCCAACAAGTTTTAAAGTCTGATCTTTTCTCCCATTAAAATACAACCCAGAAATCTTGCAATCAATATTTTTATATGCTGATCTCAGAAGTTTTCTTTCTCTCCGAATTTTATTACGATCAACTGGTCCCATATGTTCTAAACCAAAATCAACAAGAGTTGCTGATACTAATGCAGCAACTGCACGATCTGAAATGCCAAATCAATCTGCTTGTAATGCAATATTTCTAAGGCAATGTTTTTTGAGACGAGAAGTTTTGGGTATTTCATCTGATGTAACATCTGATGCACAAGGGAAATAAGTTTCAGTGTCAGAATCACTAGTTGTTTGAACTGTATCATTATCTGAATCTGATGCTTTAGCTACTCTGACACATTTTTTACTGATTTCATTTGTTGATCTTAACACTAATTTCCTTTTTAGGCGCCTTTCAGGAAGTGCAGATTCCTTCTTATCAACACCAGTTATTCGACAAATGCGTGCAGTGCGCTGATCTATAAGAAAATTATGCTCAATTGCTGCTACCTTCATATTAAGAGGGCAGCAGCAAGATGAAAACTCTTTGCATTTACATGAACAAATATCAAACAGTTTATTAAAATTAGTTTCTATTTTTTCTCTTTTGAGTGTTGCAGATTTTGATCGCGTCACTTTATGAACTTCATTTATATACTTTTCCAACTGGATTTCTATCCCTCGAAGAGTTATTGTAGGGATTGATGCTTTAATCCATACATGCAAGAGTTTATCAACCAGTCTTTTACAAACAGTTCGTAGTGGCTCAGTTTCATAACTCTTTTAAAACAAGTATGCTTTGCCAACCTGTTTGTGCATTGGCAAGTAAATGTTTTGTAACTCGTGAGCTTCACCAAAAAATATATGATAATTTTTTGCAGCTGCAGATCTTGATAACATAATTATTTCATAGTTTTTAAAACAGATTAAAATTTGAATTAATTTCTGTAAATGCCAAAAACAGACAAAAAGTACAATTAAATATAAAACTAAAAGCAGTTATGCAGTTTGCATAAACTAATAGTTTAAAGTTTAAAGTTTAAACACCAAACATTCATAGAAAATAATGTTTAAAATTGCCTAAATCTTACTGTCGTGAGCGTTCATTGTTCACGTAATAGCTACATGACGGTCACTTGTATGTGTTCTATGGCCTGTATATTTGTCCTGTATATTTGTATCGTCCTTTGTTGCTCCTTCGTCGATCTAATCAACTAATTGGTTGTTTGATTATTTACCTGTGTTTAGCAATGTTGCATCAGCTAGATGGCGCAACGATGGACAATGGTCAGGGCCCAGTGAACATTTAGTATATAGTTTGGATTTTGCACGTATCGTACACAGTGTGTTTGGTTTGCAGACATAAATGCTGTTCGTTAGTTTGCATATATAGTTTGAGATTGACTTTTAATAAAATAATAAAATAATTTCAGTTATTAGATGATCTAAAGGATATAATTATTACACTTACTACTATTTACAAATCCATACTAAATACACACAAACTAAATATTAGTCCCACAGTATAGGCAAAATTATGTGTAAATTGAAAACTAGTAAACATTTTTTATAGTTATACAATTACATAATTACACAATAATACGCATATACCTAAAAACTTCAAAACGCAAAGTATAATCAAATTTTGTTCAAGTTTTTCTTTGCTAATAGTAAACTATGCTATATCATGCCACTTACCCAAATTCTCACAGCAACTTAATTTTTATGATCTGGCCTAATATATATATATATATATATATATATATATATATATATATATATATATATATATATATATATGCAGATCTCAAACACCTTGAATTAGGCAGTTAGGTCAGCATTGCCGAATGTCGACCTTAATACCGAGGATAGTATGTATGTAACTTTTATATTATTCACCTCCGCAAGACCAAGAAGGCCACTGCAGTCAAGGAGGCTACTTTTATGTGGTTACAACACTCTCTCAACTCTTTTACTCCAAAACATATTGATTGACCAACAAAGCCACTTCATAGAGAAACAAGTTAAAAATAAATATATAATTTACATATATTTAAATATATACAAATTTATATATATACAAAATATATATTTAAAAATATATATATATATTTTTAGATTTAAAAGTTGGCCAATTGATGTGGTTTGCAACAACTAAAGTTAGTTCAAACAAGAAGGTTTTAACTGTTTCACTTGATCATAATATTATTATAAAGATGAAGGTAGTTTTTATTTTTATTTTCAAGATTTTAATTAAAAATTTTAAAATTCTTTTTTTAATAATTATGTTTGTTCTTTGATAAACCCAGGTATTTTTTTTCTAGGAATTTTTATTTAGTATCTATTTTATTTAGTATTTTTATTTAGATTTTTTCCTTTTGTTTTTTCACTATTTGTGGAGTTAGTTTAATTAGTTTTAATTATTAAATTTATCTCTAGTCTACACTTATTTAAACTTTAGTTAATTTGAGCGAGAGAGAAAGGTTTGTTATAGAGAGCGAGAGAGAAAGGTTTGTTATAGAGAGCGAGAGAGAAGGGTTTATTTATTATTTACTTAAAATGTTTAAGTAACTAATATTTGTTTCAATTTAAGGTTTCCATATATTGAGCATATTGAGTAAGTTTTGCATTAATTCAATAACTAATTAAATTTGTATTTATTAATAAATTACTAATTCCCTAAGTAGATAATGGATAGTAGGATAGATTCTCAAAATAGATGTCTAATAAATAGATAATGAATAGTAAACAGTATTAAATAATGAAATAGCAAGTTTCCAATATATTAATAGTAATAAAAAACTTATGTGTCAGTATTTAAAGCAAATTGTGTAACATTGTTGTGAGCAGCAAAAAAAATCCAACAGCACTTAAAATGTGAAATAAACTAAAAAATTTTTTTTGAATGTAGTCAAATTTGTTATAGTGGTACTAACTAGCAAAAAAAGGTTTATGAAAGTTATGAAAAATGCAAAGCCAGTTACAATATATTGATAGTAATAAAAAACTAGTGTCATTTGAAGCATATAATGTTGTTGTGAGCAGCAAAAAAATCCAACAGCACTTGAAATAAAATTTAAAAAATAAATTTTAAATGTAGTCAAATTTTTTATAATGCAAAAAAAGTTTATGAAAGTTATGCAAAATGCAAAGCCAGTTACAATATATTTTAATAAAAAACTGATCAATCGATTTCTGTTTCTTGCTTAGTTGCTAAAGATGGTTTTCTATTTGCAAAATGTTTGTCAACTGATCGCCAAAATTTAAAGACTTTGGAAATATTTCTTATGCGTTGAAAAAAAAAACATTTTTTTTTTTTTTTTAACTTTAATTCACCTCCTTAAGGCCGAGAAGGCCTCTACAGAGGAGGAGGCTACTTATTTGTGGCTATAACCCTCTCTCAACTCTATAACTCCGAAACACGAACCTTGACGAACAAGGCTGCTGCGCGGAGAAACGAGTTGAGAGCGGTACTACCAGGGACGTGGCGGGGATCGAACTCGGAACCACTTGTTTATTTTAAAAACCAATAATATTATGCGGTAGTGGTGTAGTGGTAGAGCGAGCGCTCTATCACTACACCACTACAGCATAATATTATCGGTTTTTAAAAAGAAAAATTAAATTGGTTCATGAATTGTAATTGTAAAAATTTGGAGGTGTTAAGTTTGGTTTAATACTCCATATGTGGTTGTCGTTGAGGAAATTAGTGGTAAATTTTAGTGTTTATGCTAAAGGGAAGTTCTATCTTGTTAACCTTATTTGGATGCATGGAAATTTATGTTTAGAAATTTAAAATCTTTTTAAAAGTTGTTTAATTTTTTTAAATTGTTTAAATGCTTCTTTTTTTTAAATTGCTGAGTTTTTCCTCATTTAGGTGTAAAAATAGATTCGTGGTTCATCTAAATCAATCAAATTTTATAATTAATAGGCCTTGTAAATATGTTGGTTGATGTTCAAAATTATGTGATTTAATTTATACTTTTATGCCTATTTATGTAGAGTGCTATTGTATTGTATACAAGAAATTCACCCATCTTCACCCTATCTCTGGTAGAACTGTTTTTCAACTTGCAGTCTTGTTCATCAAGACTCGTGTTTTGCAATTAAAAGGTTAAGAATAGGTTGTAACAATAATTTAAAATATTTTAACTGCAGTGGGCCCCTAGGCGTTAAGGAGGTGAAAAAAATCATGGAATTGCAATTACTGCTAATGAAGTTGTATCTAATGAAGTTGTACCTAATGAAGTTGTACTTTTCATGGAAACCTTTTAAAAAAGTTGCTTATACTGTAACTTTTTCTTCATGCTCAAAAAAATTTTGAAAAAGGTGGTGGCGGTTTAAATCTCTTCATAAAAAGTCATGTGTCTTAGAAAACACACACACACAAAAAAACAGAATTATGCAAAGTTTTTTAAATTTATTTTTAGTTATAATTTTTAGTTTTTTGTTGTTGATGTTTAATTACTAATAATTTTTTTTTCTTAATTTGATTATATTGAATTCTGAAATAATATTCAATAATTTTGTAAAAATAACATAAGGAATTAAATATTAAGTAGAATTATTGATTATTTTAATTTTTTAGTGCTTACAAAAATCTGCCAAGTTTACTTCATTAATGCCTGGACATTTGGTTGATTTTAAAACAGAGAAGGTATTTTTAAATTTCTGTTTAGATTGACATTAAATCTTGATATTTTATTCAAAAAAAATTTTTTTTTGCAGCTTAATGGTTTCTATCACTCAGATTGAAAATTAAACCAGCAATTAATAGCTGAAATATTTCTGTAAAATATTACAGTTATTTTAAAAAGTTTTAATAAAAATAAAAAAATAATCAAAAAACTCTCAATCAATATATGTTCATTCCTCACATGTTCTACCTATTTAAGTCAGCCATGTGTGTACAAAAAACAAATCATCGAAAAAACAAAGAAATAAAATAAACAAACAATAAAGGATAAAAAAAATTAAAATAGAACAGTTTATTAAAATTAATATTGCAACATTAATTACAGTATTAATAACAAAATCAATAATCGTATTTTTTAACATGAAATTGTAATAATTGTTATTTTTAACTAAATTTTACCACAAAATCTATCTTGTTATTATTCCTCAGGAATTTTACAACTTGGGATGCCATTTTATGACTTGAACTTTGTTTTTACAATTACTTTACAATGTCAATACAATTTTACAATGTCACATAATTTATTTGATATTAACACAATTGATAAGTGCATGCATCAACTGATAAGTAGGGAGAACTTGCAGGGAGTGTACATACATTAGAAAAAAGTGCAGGTTGGTATTAAGATTGCTGTCTCTAACCCTAATTAAACTAATTACTTCAATGCAATTCAATTGCTTTAGCGGTTAGTTGTTATTGTCATGTAACAATAAAAAATAAAATTGTTTTTAATAAAAGTTAATATCACAATAATAACGATAATAACAGTAACAATAAATGAATATAAAAATTTTTGTTTTTAATTGTATTAAGATTATTTTATTATAGCCATAGAGGGTAACAAAATAATGTAAATATCTTTCATCTATCAAATTAAAATTGTTGCTATTATTTTCCTCATCAAACTTTTTTTTTCATGCATTGATTGCAACATTGAGTTCTTCAGTTATTGATGTTATCTATAAATACTTATTGATGTTATCACTAATAGTTGCATGGTTTGTCAAATCAAAAGTAGCATAACTGCGTAACATAGCAAAACTGAAGCGATCACTTACCAAAATTTTTTTAACTCCTAAAGCTAAATATTCCTTTCCAACATAAGCTACTGTCCATGATTATTCGAATGGTCATACTTTTCGAAATAAGATATCATTGTTTTACTTACTAATGGTAATCAGAAAAAACTTTTTGTACTGTGAACCAAAAAATTACATAAATCCTTTATTCAATAATTAACAGCTCTGAATATCATATAGGTTTTTAGATTTTTGACTCTAGATTTTTCTTTATCATTTTTCTTTTCTCTTTGCTATATTCCTACAATCAAACCACATTGAATAAAACCTACAAACACAACAATCAAATCACATTGTTAACACCTTAGTGCTATTAACAACTCTTTTTATTTGTGTTATTTATGTATTGGTAAGATTTTTTTTTGATGAATTCATACTATGCATCAAGTAAAATATACATCATATATTATTGATAAGTATACTTTATAAAGAATTGAATTAATAAAAACATATTTAAAATTAATTAACATATTTTTTTAGAAATCAGAAAATATGGGTTTTGGATTGATATTTGGAAGTTTTGATGCTTTTGTTGACAAACGCCATGTTCCTTTAGATAAAGAAATTGTATTAATAGAGCATGAGAAGGTTATATATTTTATTATAAAATTATTTAATGAGAAACTAATAATTATTTTTTCACAATATGATATATCAAATGTTGAAAAACAGACCTTGAATAAAGGTATTTATACATTATGGGAATTACATACATGTTAATTTATTTACTGAAGCGATGGAGAGATTTAAACAATCTGTTAATCTAAGAATGTTTTTTGAAAAGATGATAAAAATCAGTTAACTCATTCAAACATTATAGCCGCTATTATAAATATAGCTAAATAATTATTAAAATAATTATAAACACTATTTATAGATATAACCATTTAAATAATTTAATAAAGTTGTTTAAATTAGTCAAGGTTTAAGTTGTTTTTAGAAAAGTTATATTAAAATTACAAAAGATATCTTAAACAAAAAACAGGGAAAAAAACAAATATGGAGTTAGAAATAGAATTTATTAAAAGCAAATCTTTTGTATAAGTTAAAGTAAACCATAGCATAACATCAGATGTTATGGAAAAAAAAAATTGTTTATAAATTATTGGAACACTGAAAAAAAATGAAAATGAAAAACACTGAAAAAAATTTTCTTTTTTTGCGTTTAATCAATCATACGCATTAGTAAACACAATTTAAGTTTTCAGAAAAATCTGAACCAAGTGCCAAGTATGTATATTTTCAAAATTAAAACTTATAATTTTTTGCTTTCTTTCTTCCTAAGTTTTTTTTCAACATATATACCATATACATATATTAATTTTTTATTAACAAATACATATATAACACAAATTATATTAATGCTATTGATCTCCATAATTCCTATGTCCAATGGTTCTTTATAGTTCACCAAAATTTTTTAATTTGTGTTAAACAGCTGCATCACACACGGCTGTTTCAATCAATATAAAAGCGAGCTTGAAGTCACAGTTATTTTTGTGTTTATCAAAAAAAAAAAAAAAGTATTTCCGCAAAAAAAGTTTAAAAATGCACTAACTTTAAAATAATAGTGTTTTTTTCCTATAAAATTTTTTTTATCTTTAATCTTCAAATAAAAAGAATTTAAAAGACCTATCTTTTTTTTTTAAATAAATATTTACATTAAATGGAATAATAATATTAATGTTTAAATATTGCTAACGATTTGGAATCACTTTTCTGTTTTTTGTGGTTTTTACGGAAAACCTGACTTGGGTCAACTAAGATTTCATAACATAGCTACATGCCTCATGGCTGAAATTTGGATCATTTATAAATAAATGTCTATTCTATCTAATTTTTGGTGCGGATTGCTTATTTTTTATTTTTTAACTATTTTTAAATGGATTTATATTTTTTATTTTATTATTAAATTATGAAAATTGTATTATTTTTGTGATCCGTACCAAATTATTGAAATTTCAAAACTTACTGCATATAAAAATCAAAAAATTGTTTGCTGTACCTATTGCTATGTTATGAAATATATGTTTTCATACTTGGCTAGTTTGGAAACAAATTTTTCTAGTTTATTGCGCAAAACATTGTTTACATTTTAAAACAATCACGTGACCTTAAACTCTGTATGTCCCAAGCAAATATGTAATAAATTTTATGAAAACAACTTTTTTAGCAAGACGAATTTTGAAGTATAAAATAAACAAAGTTAGGCGGTTTTTTCTTTAGAATGGTGCATAAATCTATTATCAACTGGGTGTTCAAAAATCGTTTTCTACTTAAAGAACTTAATAATTGATCAACTCATTATAAAAAGTTTTTTATGAGAATAAAAACACATTATCAAACAATTTAAATTAGTTATATTTATTAAAGAAACGTTTTATTTTTTGTGAGAAGAAATTGATTCAAGTGCCATAAAAAAGTTTTATTACCAAAAGTAAGGTTAATTCAAAAACTTTAACTAAGTTTTGGTCATGAATTTATTTATTAGAGTCTTTATTTATTAACAACCTAATACCATATTATTAAAACTGTATGCATAGAAAAGAATTGCTTAAGTTAAAGGCTTTAGCTTAGAATGTTAATACTAAATATTTCAAAATTGAAATCTGGTTTTATTTTTTAATGCATTGAATTTATCAACTTATGTGAATTATTTTCTAAAACTTATGGATTTAAAAACGTGCTTATTTAACAGCTAATACCCTCTTTAACGACATTTTTCATTTTTCATACCTTTAACAATTAAGTAAGATTTTTTTTTTAGTAATAGTTAAACAATGAATGTATTTGATAATAACTATCAGAAATATATTTTTTTGATTTTTTTTGATAAAAAGTAACAACAAATTACTAAAATTTAACCAAGTTCATCATTTGTCGCGCTTTTTGTAAACTAAAAGAAGTTTTTTTACTATTGTATTAAACGTCGTATGATAAAATATTTTATTGTTGTTTTTATTCGTTTACAAAACAAAATTATCTCTAATATTTTAAAAGTTATAAATGTTTTAGTAACACCCCTTAAGTCAAAAAAAACAAGAATCCGTAAAGCTCACTCTAAAACAGCTGAAAAATATCTTTTGTATATAATTGAAGACTAAAATATGAACGTTTAAAGTCTTCAATTCTAACAGAAATATCTGTACCCATTTCTAAACCGAACCCTGCTGATTTCAATAATGAAACTTTATGCTAACAATCAATTATCAATAAAATATCAATTGTTGCAGTTAAAGTAATATCCCTCTCCAAAACATCTAACTAGAGCATTGTATTATCTATTTGCATTGTTTACATCTAAACCTAATCCATGCATCCATGGTACCCTCTCATTATTATGATATATGTTTTTAACGAGTTTTAAAAAGTTGGTCAAACACATAAAAGCATATTACAAAGTTTATTCACACAATTTTTTTAGTTTTGTTCTTAGGAAGTTCTAATACATTAAATAGCTCCATAATAGTTTGGAGTCAGTCTTAATTTACTTTCTTTTTTTGTGTCTTATTTTAATTTACTCCAACTGTAACAGAGAGAAGATTTCCGCCAGTATACGGCCAGAATTACACTCCACTTACAATGTTTTTATGTTCCATTTTACATTTTAACAATCCATATGCTACTTGATCTGCATTTTTACATCCAACTGATTCTTTAATATTTATGAAATTGTTACAGCTTGACTTTTCCAAAGATGAGAAACTCTTGTACCTAAAGAAAACCATGAGAAACTGCTCTACCTAAAACTACTAGTGAGAAATTTAAAAATATTTTAATAGTATCTTGAAGTTACATAAGAAATAATAATGCATTGAATCAAACTGTAATGTAACTAATAGAAACTTTAATTAATTTTATTTAACTTATAAAATTATAGTATTTTTATATTGAGATTCAAATAGCAGAGCCCACAGATTTTCTCATTCACATTTAAAATATGCATTTCTGTCTCAACATTTGTTTGAATACATAGCAGTGAAGAGGTTCCCTTTATAGTATTTTTAATTATCTAAAATACCAAAGTGCTTCATAAATTAAATCAGAGATAATATGACGATGTATCAAAACTATATGATTTTTACCTTACCCTATACATACATATATATATATATATATATATATATATATATATATATATATATATATATATATATATATATATATATATATATATATATATATATATATATATATATATATATATATATACATGACAAATAGCCTGACTCACAGTGTAGTGCTGCTACATTGACTGAGGTTTTGGGATGGGGCAGCAATTGTTTAATTCATTATTCTTTGTTTTTTTTCTTTTTTTAAAAAACCAATATGGGTTAAGGTAAGCAAAAAAAGTGAGCAAATGCTTATAAAAATATGCTTTAGTAAGTGTGTATATATATATATATATATATATATATATATATATATATATATATATATATATATATATATATATATATATATATATACATACATACACTTTGACATAAGTATCTTCATAATGGCTTGGGGAAATTTCCTAAAATTTGATTCTCTAATAGATTTTAACTTGAGGAATCCAAAAATAGCACTCTTAAGACTCGATTATCTCAAGAAAGGCCTCGTTTATCCAATTTTGTTCAAAATTATTAACTTGTAAGTTAGTGATTTTTGGAGGTAAAATAAAGACTGTGGCCCGAAATCCCGAGTAAAAATTTTAATTGTATATCATTATTTCATCTTAAGTCTACTGAAAAAAATTAGATTTATCAATTGTCTCTCTAATACATGATCAAAATTTGCGTTTAAAAATGGTGTCTCTTTAAAAAAATTTAAATTTTGTAACAAAAGCAATTAAAATATTTTATTAAACATTTATTTGAATAAAACACTAAATATTGTTATTTATTGACTAGTTTAAATTTAAATAAACATTTAAAGTCATGGGCCAAGGGAGATGCCCTCCTTACCCACAGGAGGCCCCTCCGCCCCCTCCCTAAATCTCCCTAGATTTTTTTTTTTTTTTTACATAAAATGAATAAATAATAGTTGATTGTTAAAATACATTTTAAAAACATATTTTTTCAGTTTAAGTTTGAGAAACGATTTATTTGCGTTACTTCAAATCGATAAATACTTACTTCTTATTTCAAAGATCTTTTTACGATTTTAAGTCATAAATTTCAAAAACAAATGTTTTAAAATATTTTTAAAACATATTGACAATAAATATCTTTATGTAGTTTTAGACTAATATAGTCATTGACATAATAAGATGGGAGTGATTTGTGATTTATTTAAACCCCCACCCCTCTTTCTCAGCCTACAATCCAAGGATTTGAAAAAAATAAAAAGACATTTAAAATGCAAATTAGGTAAATAAAATAAAAACAAAATTATTTTAAGCATAATTAATTTTTTTTGTAACCAACAGTTTATATTCTCCAAATCTAAATCAGTTATGTTGTATGTTCGACCTGATATTGTTGTGGGTGTAGAAATTAGGCATATAACTTCAGAATTGAGCACCCAACACTCATCAGTTCTTATTGGCCAAAAGAAGTTTTTACCTGGTCCATGTGGATGCATGAATCTGACTTTTATATCAA